TTTGCTGCAGTAGTCAAGTGTTCGATCATGACAGTGGCACCTATGATATCAGTTAACAATGTGAATCTGGTGGTTCACAGAAAGACAATACTAAGAGTTTCGAACAACATTGTGCTAACACCAGGAATCGCAAAAGGAATTGTGACAAGTATTTTTGTTGTTGCTACAATTTTCTAACACCAAAGACAGCCTTGAGTGTTTTTTTATTAGTTAGATATATTTTGTTGAAAAATTGGATAGGCTTCATCTGTTATATTATCATTCCTTGGTACTGAACTCGCTGGAATATTAACAATAATATGGCCCATTTGCAATGAGCTATGATTTACGGGGCCACACCGCCAACGCTGCCATAGAGAATATACCGGGCCTTATAAGTTAAAATTCAAAAAGAAAAAGAAAAAAAAGAAAAAAAAAAGAAAAAAAAAAAGAAAGGAAAGAAGACCAATATACCGGTTGTCCCAGTCCCACGTCGTAACTTCCGGACCTTGAGCGAGAGACCGAGCGTGTGCTCGGAATAACCTGAAAACCAAAAATCTCCACCGTATTCACCACAGTAAAAACTAAAAGAAATAAAAAAAGAAAGAACAAAAAACCCACCCTTGTGGAGGAGCTTGGGGAATTTTTTACCAGAATGCCACCACCTGAAATGAAAAACACCAGAATGCCACAACTTGAAAAAAATTTGCAGAAATGCCACAAACCCAGAAAGGGTTCGTCCAACCATTGGACGACCCAATGAAGGCCATTTGCACGCAGCAAGGGTTCGGCCGACCCTGCTCTAGCTACTTTTTTTTTTTTTTTTTAATTTCAGAATTAAAATGTATTTTTTTTTATTTTTTGTTTTTAATAGTTTTTTTTATATTTAAATGATTTAAATAATATTATATAATAATAAAAAAATAATTTAATTCAACGGTTCCGTGTTTACTGATGAAAATATCGGTTTTTCATTCAACGGAACAGATACGGTGATGTTCAAACTTCACCGAAGTTCTGATATCCGTCATCTAAAAGATAGAATTGAAAAAAAAGTGAATCGTTCTGTCCAGGATATTACTTACCGTCAACCAATACGTAATGGGGTAGACGATGATGTGTTCTACGTAATGATGCAGATAGATACAGACAACGCAGTCAAATCAATGTTTCAATGTCATTACACAATGCCCCAGTTGAAGACAATTGAATTATATGTTCGCCTTGAAGACGAGGCATATCCAACACAATCATCATATTCGCATGAATACGGGGTGAGCCAAACAACTGATGATGAAATAACGCAAAATAATGAACCTTTCATCCGGAACGAGGAGGTTGGTGAATACAGTGACGATGAGCTCGATGATGTTCGCTTTGAAGACCTATTCGGTGATGACGATGACGACGGTCACGATGAACTCATGCAGTCAGAGGTAATATATGCTCAACCCATAAATCTGTACAATCCACCAATGCATATGTCAAACATATGTATGGAGTCATCTCAACCCATCTATATTTTTGAAAATGAAAAACCAAACCATAATGGTGAAAAATTGGAAGTAGGCTTGGTGTTTGAAAATAAGGAAGAGTGTGTTCTTTTTTTACAACATTGGCATATTAGTAACAACCTTGACTATGCAGTATATAAATCTGATTCAGTAAGGTATATAATAAAATGTACAAACCCACAATGTGTCTTCAAATGTAGAGCTGTTGTGCGTAAAAAAAGCACATTATGGGAGATCGCTACTATAAAGGGTTCACACACGTGCACTACAACCTCAATGTCACAGGATCATAGAAAATTAGATTCTGAAATTATTAGCCACAGCATCAGAGAACTTGTTAACAGCGACGCTTCACTGAAAGTCAAAGTTATACAAGCCCACATTGCTGAAAAATACGGTTATAGAATCTCGTATCGGAAAGCTTGGATTGCAAAGATCAAAGCTGTAGAAGCACTTTATGGAAATTGGGAGACGTCTTACAATGACCTACCACAGTGGTTATTGGTGCTGAAGACATATCTTCCTGGAACTGTTATACAGTTGGAAACATTGCCGATTATTACAGATGACGGAACCCAGTTGGGTGACAAACGAAAATTTCACCGACTTTTTTGGGCATTTGAACCGTGTATCCGTGGTTTTAGTTTCTGTAAACCAATCGTGCAAATAGACGGAACCTGGTTGTACGACAAGTACAAAGGGACTTTGTTAATGGCTGTGGCACAAGATGGAAATGGTAACATTTTTCCGATAGCGTTTGCATTGGTTGAAGGAGAGACAAAGGATGGTTGGAGTTTCTTTCTCAAGAATTTGAGAATGCACGTGACCCCCCAGGCCAATCTTTGTCTAATATCCGACCGACATCCATCAATCAAGAGTGCTTACGATGATCCTGAAAATGGGTGGCAGTTTCCTCCATCTTCACATGTTTACTGTATCAGACATATTGCGCAAAACTTCATGCGTGAGTTCAGAAACAAAGCACTACGAAAAACAGTTGTCAACATGGGTATGTCTACATCTTCACAAGTTTTATTGATAATTTTTTGATCATTTTGTTTTACTAATCATTTTGTTTAATTATTTTCAGGATATGCACTAACAGAGGCAACATTTAACTACTATAGGGGCGAATTACGAAGAACAGATAGAGCAGCTTTGGAGTGGATTGACAATATTCCCAGAGCGAAGTGGTCGAGGGCGTTTGACGGAGGACAGCGGTGGGGACACATGACCACAAATTTAGCCGAATCTATGAACTCGGTACTTAAGGCTACCCGAAACCTTCCTATTACAGCATTGGTCAAGTCAACGTACTATCGTCTGGGATCGCTGTTTGGAAAACGAGGACACGATTGGACAAAACTGTTGGCATCCGGTCAAACTTTCACGAAAAACTGTATCAAGGGAATGGCCGACGAGGCTATTAAATCTAGCAGTCATAACGTCATTCAATTTGATCGCGAGAGATTCTGTTTTATGGTTGCCGAATGCATTAACCAACGCGATGGCCGACCATTAGGTACTTTTAGCGTTGATCTCAGGAGAGGGTGGTGCGATTGTGGGAGGTTTCAGGCATTTCATTTACCTTGCTCTCATGTAATCGCAGCATGTGCCAGTATACGACAGGACCATAACATGCATATACCAGATGTTTTCAAAGTTCTAAGTGTATTCAAAGTATACAGCCAAAGCTTCCTTGGACTACCACACCAGCAAAATTGGCCAACATATGAAGGATTCACTCTTTGCCATGACGAGACAATGCGAAGAAATAAGAAAGGGCGTCCAAATAGTACAAGAATTACAACTGAAATGGACGATTTTGAGAAAGAAAAGAGAAGATGTGGGATTTGTCGAGAAATCGGTCATATGCGGAGAAAATGTCCAAACGTGGCAGGCCCATCAAATCGGCCCGTCTAAAAATGATGTATTTTTCCCCTGATTAAATATTAATAATATTCTTTTTTTATGATTCAATTTATTCTTTTATATAATTATTTATATTTATGAATTAATTATATAATGTGAAATATATATTATTAATATTAATATATATTATAATTTAAATAATTTTAATATTTCAAAAATATATTATTAATATTAATATATAATAACATTTATTAATTTTTTTTAAACAATTAAATAATTAAATATTACTGAAATATATTTTATAATTAATAAATTATATAATATAATTTATTAAAATATTAAAATAATTAAATTATTTTTTTATTATTATATAATATTATTTAAATCATTTAAATATAAAAAAACTATTAAAAACAAAAAATAATAAAAAAAAATACATTTTAATTTTGAAATTAAAAAAAAAAAAAAGTAGCTAGAGCAGGGTTGGCCATCCATTGGCCGAACCCTTGCTGCGTGCAAATGGCCTTCATTGGGTCGTCCAATGGTTGGACGAACCCTTTCTGGGTTTGTGGCATTTCTGCAAATTTTTTTCAAGTTGTGGCATTCTGGTATTTTTCATTTCAGGTGGTGGCATTCTGGTAAAAAATTCGAGCTTGGGCGTGAATAATGTAGAGATATGGGGCGCTGTTTTCGATTCACGACCGCAAACTTTCTTCTTGTACGTTTTGGCTGGCCTTCTGCCGTCCCACTGCACTCGCCAACAGGGGAACTTTCTTGAAGATACGGTATGGGGCTATTGGTTTCGCCCTCAGCAGCATCTGTCACTTCGCGAGGAGAGAGGAGCGTAGTACTTTCTTGAAGTACGGGGCTATTGGTTTCGCCCTCAGCAGCATCTGTCACTTCGCGAGAAGAGAGGAGCAGAGTACTTTCTTGAACTACGGGGCTATTGGTTTCGCCCTCAGTAGCATCTGTCACTTCGCGAGGAGAGAGGAGCGTAGTACTTTCTTCACCAGAATTTTTCACTTCGCGAGGAGAGGGGAGAGACATGTTATCGGATTTCGGTGAACGTGTCATCTTAAACAAAATAATAGAAATGTACGAAATAAAAGTGTTATATTTATAGGGTGAAATAAAAGTGTTGTATTTATTTTTAAATTATTATTATTATTTTATTATTTACTAATATTATTAGTATTATTACGAGTATAAGTTTATATTTAAATAATAAAATAAATATTTAAATTTATATTTTAACATTTATTTTTAATTTTTTTAAATGAAATAATTTAAATACCAATTTAATCGGGTATAATTTGTTTTTTTTCACACCCCTGTATATAAATTAAATTTTAAATTTTTAGAGTTTTTTTTGCTCAAATCTTATTGTGGTTAACATATTAAATACTAGTTATATTTAATCTTATCTGGATAAAATTAGTAAATACACGAATTAAAATTATATAAATTTTGTAATCTTTCAAAAAAATTAATATTTCGTAAATAAAATGAAAAATTCGTAATTTGCTAAAAAAAATTAAATTAAATTAAAATATTGAAAATAATTTAGTTCTGTCAGAGCATTTATCCAGTTACAAGTTGCAATCTGCGAGATTCCAATTTTTTGTTTCTTCCCCAATGGAAATGGATTCCACTCCGAACGGAAACAACACTGCCGTCGAAACTCAAATCGCAGCCACCACCGCCGCCGTCAACCCTACGCCTGCTCCGTCCTCCAACCTCCCCAGACTAACGGAATCTCTCAAGCTCGAGCATCAGTTCCTCAGAGTCCCTTTTGAGCACTTCAAGAAAACCCTCCGAGCCAACAACCGCGTCGTCGAGAAGGAGATGTCCGCCGTTATCTCCGGCGTCAACGATGCCGCCTCTTCTGATTTGTCCCCCTCCGACGCCGTCAACCAGCTTAGCTCTCTCGTCTCCCGCCTCCAAGGGCTCAAAAGAAAAGTAACCACTGACCTAATTTTATGATTCGTAATTCGTTTCAACACGTGATTCAGATTTGTTTTTGATTGTTATCTTTCCATATAAATCACATGTTTCTTGGTTATGGTTTTGGAAATTATTTCAATTTTGGATTTGCATTTGTTGAATCTTGATTTGCAGTACCAAATAAGGATCTGGATATTAGTTCAAGAAAAATTGTGTAAATAATTTGATGTTTTGTTTTAGTTGCAATGTAGTTAGTTATGATTTCGAGCATTCTTTTGTGGTCGATTTTGTTTTGGATTCTTGATTAATTATGTTTTTGTAATTGATTATCTTGGCTTGTAATTGTGAAAATATTTTAAGCTGGAAGAAGGAAATCGAGCTGAGCATTTGCAAGCGCAGAAGTGTCGTGCACGTCTTGAACATTTGGAATCTGCAGACGCGGAAAAAATGTCAGAATGGAATAACACTCGCTTGAAGCGAATTCTTATTGATTACATGTTAAGAATGTCATATTACGACACTGCACAGAGACTGGCTGAATGCAGCAACTTGCAGGTAATGGATGTGGTGGCCATTTGTTGATGCTGGCAATATCTGTTGCTTTTGGTCACTTTGGATGTAACAGTAGTATTTTTTGGTTTTTGTGCTTCAGGAGCTAGTTGATATTGATGTGTTCCAAGAAGCAAAAAAGGTTATTGATTCTTTGCAAAGTAAGGATGCTGCACCTGCCCTAGCATGGTGTGCTGAAAACAAATCAAGACTGAAGAAGTCTAAGGTTCATACTACTGTCTGAGTTTATTAATAGTCGCTGCCTCGTACTTATAGGCTAGTCTTTTGGGTTTATCTAGCTCTGGAGTCTAGGAAACATGCATTTCTGTTAAGGCAATAAGAATTTGTAGGATTGTCCCAGATGTCCAGCAACTATAGAATATGGTCATATAAAAGAGAAATAAATAACCACTGTATGTGCCTGTTCATAATAAATAAATAAAGAGTAATGCTAACTTGTGCCCTTGGGGCATAAGTTAAGAGACCCACTTATAGTAAATTTGTATTGAAAAAAACAATTTAAAAATTAATTTTATACTTTAATTAAAGTTTATACACAATTTCCAAGACAATATTTCTTAATTTAGTTCTTAACTTGTGCCCCAAGGCATTACCCATAAATAAAAATACAACAAAAATGGTACAAGTCTGGTTCAAAATTGTTTTTTATTTTATTTTAAAATTGATGAAAAGCCAGACTTTCTTAATTATCCACAACCACTAGGTATTATTCTTGTATGATGTTCATTGTTGATAACAGATGCATAATTTGGGCACCGTACTATTTACAGTTGTTAATTAAGAGCAGTTTACTGTTAACAGAGCAAATTGGAGTTCCAGTTGAGACTTCAAGAGTTCATAGAAATGGTAAGAGCTGAAAACAATTTAAGAGCCATCACATATGCTAAGAAGTATCTTGCGCCATGGGGAGCCACCCACATGAAAGAACTGCAGCGAGTCCTCGCAACACTAGCTTTTAAAAGAGATACCGGATGTGCCACATATAAGGTGATAATGTAGTTTATTTTGTGTTTGCGCACTAATGATACTGGTGTCTTTAATTTTATTTTTCTTAATATAACATTCTTATGATTGTATTTATTTATAGTTGTTGAATGGCACAATTCATTATATAAGTTCCAATTTTATACTAAAACTTCGTTTAGCTTGCATGGAATGTAGAAGAAAGAGATAATTAGGAAAAAGAGAGTGAAACTATTTCGTTTAGTGAACGAGAGAAATCAAAAAGCGAAATTGGACCACTTTCTTTCGCCGCAAAGGTGCAAAGAAACAGAGGCGAGAAACCAATGTTCTTACCGTTTTCGTTTAATACGTCATCCATGAATCGTACTTCTTTATAACGTCCTGGGCGTGTTTTCTAACCAGGAGCTTGGCTTTCTCAATACAGTTAGAGATGCATGATGCCGAGCTTGGCTGCTTCTTTGAATAAAACATTTAAAAATGACCCTGGTTGACTGGAAAATATGTGAGATATGCTACAAATACAGATGATAATATTTAAACTTTTTTGTTATGTTCAATGGAAACTGTTTTGTCAAAACATTAGTACTAATGTTTTATAAACCGTGTGGTACCGAAAAGAGAAGCTCCAAGGCAGGGTTTTATTCTTAAAGCAGCAACCATAGGAGAAACAACAATCGATATGAGTTGATGTAGAAAAAATTGGAGTGAGCAGGGGTATTATTGTTTTAAAGATACACTATTTATCTCATCGCACTTTATTTAACTAAACAATGCGAGAGAGAAAGACAACTGAATACTTCTTTCTCTTCTCTTTCTTTTCTATTTCTCTCGCACAACAATACCAACAATCCACTCTTTTTCTCACATCTTTCTATCTCACTTTTTTTATTTCTCTCTTTTATCGTTCTCTCGCTAGCCTAACAGAGCATAAGCAGCCAGTAGTTCATATCATTTGTTGAATCATAGTTGGCTTTGAATGTTGCCCGAGTCGCACAAATCATTGTAACTTTGTATCATTGATAGAGATGATTCTGCAATTTAGTATCACTCTGCTTTTTCTTTTCTTGCTCTGTTTTCATCCGGAGTGAAAGAGGCATGCTTTTTCACATGGATAGATCAGGTGGCAGACTAACTGCTGTTTGAATCTTCTAGTTCTGGATACAATTTTTGTTCTTATAGAATCCAATATTCACAAATCACAAAAGATTTATCAATGTTGAGATTAGGACTTATGAACGTACTAATGAATCAAAAACTGCGTGATGGTACTTAGTCATTTAAGTTTTTATCAGAATTTAAAGTATTTTGTTCATGTTTTAGATATGGGATTATGTATATTTAGACATGTAGGAAGAAGGCCTCTGGATTCTGTTGTAAGGAGAGTAGATCAGATGAAGAGTAATTAGACAACTAGAGGTAGAGGAAGGCCTAACAAAACTATGAGAGAAACTATTAAGAAAGATTTCAAGATTAACAAATTGGATAGAAACATCGTCTTTGATAGAACATTATGGTGTAATTTGATCCATGTAGCCGACCCACTTAGTGGGATAAGGTTTGGTTGTTATTGTTTCTTCTCTAAATTACACAACACATTATTTTTCATACAATTCATGATTCAAAAATGGAACAAATGATTCTTGGCATGGTTTACAGTTTAATAACTTCATTGACAGCACAGTGAAAACTTCTGAGGAACCAGATGAATTAAGAATTTTGTTAAACTGCGAATTTTATCGTAGAAGAATGTGTAGTTTTTCAATTTAATTATATTTTTCCTCTAGGAAAAAGTGGAGGAATACCAAGCATTATGCTAATAACACTATCTAATTGATATCAATTATAACTATGTTTTGGTTTTTCTGGTTGTTTATAAATCAGTTGACTAACACAAGCTTTATATCTCTTGAGCTATTAATTTTAATTGTACCGTACTTGCTTAACTGTTTTAATAATTGAGATGACTTGTGTCGTGCAGTGTGCATCACCTATTTCATTGTCAAACACAGTTCCTCCTTTGTTGAGAAACAATAATTTATTTGTATGAATTTTTACTTTATTATGATAATTTCTTATACGAGAAAATCTTCATGCCTGTTGTATTTACAAATTATAATGAAATCTATCAACATGTTGATCGGACACGACATTTTGATGCTTTTGTTCTTATGTTTTGCTTCATACTGCATCGTCTATTCCATGGTAGCTTCCGTTTCTGCACTGATATATTTGCGATTTTCTTTTGGATAATTTACAGGTCTTGTTTGAAGACAAACAATGGGATTATCTAGTTGACCAATTCAAACAGGAGTTCTGCAAGTTGTATGGCATGACTTTAGAGCCTTTGCTCAATATCTACCTGCAAGCTGGCCTTTCGGCTCTCAAAACTCCGTATCCATACTAAATATAGATTATTATCTGCAAGAAGTATTTTAACCTAAAAACTCGTATGCTCTAGGATAGTCACAGATTATTATCATGCTTACATGCATATATGAAGGACCCACCAAAAAATGAAATTAAAGCACTTGGATTCTCCTTAATAAGTTGTTGATAATCAATCTCTTGTCTCAGAGTCTTTTGTAGCAGTTATTGGTAATCGTAGTTTATTTTGTGGTACGATGCCCACATATTTTAACTGGTCCCTAAGGCCTTCAGTTGATTTTTACTTGCCACTTCTCAATGTCTTACAGATCTTTTACTATTATTCCAATAATGCAGCTAAAGTATGGTTCTACTCACTCAAATGCATCTCTTTTTTAAAACCTGTTGTGAAAGATTTCAAAGCTGATACTGATAATTCCAAGCCTCTTGCTCATAAATTTGCATGTTTTTTTATTGCAACCTTGTGGTTGTCTGTGCACACATTGTCACAGCTAATTGTTTCAGCTACTCACCGAGAAATGTTCCTTGACTTGATAAAGATATTGTTTCGAGGATGATTGCACAAAAGAAGACCCTCTATCACAGCAAGCTTTTCGCAAACTAGCCTCACCATTACCATTTTCTAAGCAGCATCACTCAAAACTTGTTTGCTACATAACAAAGGAGCTAATGGACACAGAGAACCCACCACAAGTCCTGCCAAATGGATATGTTTATAGCTCCAAGGTCCCTTTTTTATATTTATTATACCGATCCTGTTATTCCAAATGTCCTGCATTTAAGGCTAATCTTATTTTGACTTATGCTCATTTGTAGGCTCTTGAAGAGATGGCTAAGAAGAATAATGGTACTATAATCTGCCCAAGGTCAGGTTTTATTTGCAGTTACACAGAACTGGTCAAGGCATTTATTTCATAAATCTAAATACAAATTTGATTAATGATTGAAAATGTGAATCCTGCCATTATCTTCAAGTTACTGTGGCTGTCAGATTGGAAAAATGTTTGCAAAGTGACTCTTATGTTCGTCATTAACCAGTCAGTATATTTTACCTGTGCTGTGGTGTATACTTAAAGCTTGTACATATGTATGTTTTTAGTGTCAATTGGATATGACTTAAACATGTGCATACATTGATTTAGTATTTTCCATTGTAATGAACTTCTCTCCCATGAAACTATGGATTGGACTTAACCAGTCAATCTATTGCAACACTCTTCAACCATGAATATCAACAGTAAGATCTCAGACAGTAACACTTGTGTAAAAAAGGAAACCACTTAGAATAACAATAACTACAGATCTTGCACCATAATACGTGCATCACTTCAACAAGAACGAGAAATTAACTGATATACCAGGTTGTTTTTTGATTCCATCATCATCCAAAGAGTCCATAAAAACTGTCATGATGATTTCCATTCATCTTAGGTTCATACACATAGAAATTGGTACCAAATGATTTCCCTTCATCTTAGGTTCATACACATGGAAATTGGTACCAAATTGTTTCCATACTTTAAGATCGAGATTCGACTGTTGCAATGATCTTTCTCCTGGAGACAAAACTCTCTTGGCAGAAATTAAACTATTGAATTAGAATTCCACATTATGAGACATTATTATAGAAGGAGAAATGACTGGGATAGGAGTTGCAAGATATTAAGTGAGTACGAGAACTTTGAACCATTCTTAATCTTTGCATCCAATTATCACTCACTACTTATTTGAAAAACTTCTTAAGCGCGATTTGTTATAATTATTTATTGTTTTTTTCTTCTTCCAAATAAAACTTTATTAATACCATTAAAGAGTTATTTAGTAAAACTTATTTACGACTTATAACACAAATATTTATTATAATAAAAAAATGTTAAATTATTTTTGTTTAGATATAAACTATTTTATAACATGTTTTTGAAAATTTATGAGAATAATAAAAAATAATTTGTGAAAAATATCATATGTTGTAGTTATAATTTCTTCTAAACAGATTTATAAAGTTTATATGACTAAATAAACTCATAAATTAATTTAAACATGTTCTATGTACTTAAAAATCAAATTAAATATACTCACATGCTTTAGTCTTTGCAAATTGTGGAGGGAGGATTTTTACTTCTTCAGGTATATTGGATCTGATAAAGGTTTGCAAATCACCTATCTTAGTTTGGTTAGAACTCTCTTCAAACTCATCCAATTGCTTTTCCATGTTAACAGTCCCATTTAACACAAGAAGCAATTTTTTCTTATCTTGTCCTGCTTTTTTCAAACACTTAAGTAAGTGATCTCACACATCTGAAATGAGATTGTTATCCTTTTCTGAATTAGAGAACTTATCCAAGACATTGTCAGCTATATCCAAAATAGGTTTTCTATTTGCAAGTCCACCTATTCACAATGTACTTGCTTGGTATTTCATTTAGAAATTTACCCTTTAAAACACAAAATATGTGTTTACAAGGTATTCCTTCAGCCTGAAACATCTTGCATGAGCAATTGGCATTATGGTGAGACAAATTATACACCACTTCTCTAAGTTTACTATTGACCTTGCCATTATCATATATATGAAATATTTCTATTCCATCTAACTCTTTCTTATTTTCAATTCCACAGTCTACACATGCAAACCATAATTCATTCTGAAATATGTAAAAGTTCTCACGGGTATACACATCTCTCGCATGTCTCTCTATGCCACGATCCATAATTAACTTTGGTGTAGAATGAATTGAGTTATTATCGGCAAGTAACTCCTTATGTCGTTGTGCTTCTATTGCCGAATCAAACATCATCCAAAATTCAACCAAGCTAACATTTGGATTCAAGAAATTACCATAAAAAGAATTCTCACTTTCTGACCTTGATGTAGTTCTCAATATCCCAGTCAAGAAAATATCTTTAAAGTATGCTGGAATCCACATGTCTCGAATATCAAACATATGTGACAACCAATCATTATTTTCTAACTCAAATTTGGTCATTATAGACTTCCATGTAGCTTCAAACTCATTTGGTGTCTCAAACTCCCAAACACATGATTTAGACTTGTGTTGAACTCTTCATTAGCATTCATAGAACCACCTATTTTCTCAGAAACTTTTTTCATTATGTGCCACATGCAAAATCTACGATTAGAGGTAGTACAAATATTTTCTATAGCTACCTTCATGGCAGGATCTTGATCAGTTATTAGAAGAGTTGACATTTTTCCTCCCATTGCTTCCAAAAACTTTTGGAACAACCATATGAATGAATCAATTTTCTCATTTGCTAAAAATCCTGCTCCAAGAGTTATAGATTGTCTATGGTGGTTTATTCCAGTAAAAGATGCAAAAATCATAGAATATTTATTTGTTTGATACGTAGTATCAAATGAAATCACATCCCCAAACACAGAATATTTTTTTCTACAAATACCATCTGTCCAAAAAACATGTTTTAGCCGAGCTTCTTCATCTAACTCATACGCATAGTAAAATGATGGATTAACTTCTTGCTTCCTTCTAAAGTTATCAATAAAAATATGAGTATCAGAATCTTTAATCAACGTCTTTAAATCTCTCGAATAATTTTGAAGATCTCTCTGTGTGCAACCAACATTTTGATAACCCCCTAACTGTTCTTTTAATAAGTGGAAAGTTTTTGATGTTCCAATATTTGCCTTACTATATGCAAGTAATAAATTCTTGTGAATTGGATTCACTTTTCTTGCCGATCTTAAAAACGGTCTCTTCATAGGTGAAACAAGAGCGTGTGTATGAATCTCATGAAATCGAACTAACTCATATTTATCTTCTTCCACTCGTTTGAAAACAACATTTGCATTGCATCCTTCTCTAGTACGACTCCTTCTTCTAACTTTGATACTAGATTCACTCCGCTCCATCTCATTTGTCTTCATTGGCAAATAACCTTGTTTTGAGCAAACAAAGTACTTCCAACGCTTCACGCCGTTTTTATCTTTAGTTTCTGATGATGAACGCACACTAAATCCGACATGATGTGCATATTTTTTGTAAAATTCTCCACCTTCTTCTAATGTATCAAATACTTGTCCAATCTTAGGCTTTAACTCATCATCACAATTTGACACCCATTCATTTTCCTAAAAATCACAAAATAATACAATGATATCAAATATATTTAAATTAATTTATAATCTCAGATCTTATTACCTAAAAAGAAATTAAATCATTTTCCTAAGTATGAGGGATACTAAAAATATTAAATAAATTAACGCATAAGGGAATGATAAATATGTTAAATATGTTTATACGTATTTGGTATATTATTTCTTCTTGTCTGCACTTTGTTTTGGTTAAAGAGAATATTAAAGAAAAATTGATTTCAAGCTAAAAGATGTTACCTTGAGTAGTTGAGTGCCAATTGATATCACTTTGTCCATAGCAATAAAAAGTAAGAAACACTGAACAATAGAAGAAGAAGATGATATGTAAGTGGTTTTCAGAAACAAGAAATGAGGAAGAAGGTAATGTATTTTCTTAGAGGAAACATTAATATGAGTTAACGTTAATTATATTTTCTTAATTAATAAAAACTCTCAAGGGAAGAAAAAAAGTCAGCTAGGGAAGTGAAAAAAAAGTCAGCTAGTAAAGTGAGAGAATTAATATCAATTGTGTTTTCCTAATTAATGAAAACTCTCACGTGAGTGACTAAAGGTGAAAATTAATCTTCACATACAGCAGTCCCCGCAACACCTGTATCAACTCCATAAAAGTTGCAGTTAATTCTCTCACGTGAGTGACTAAAGGTGAAAATTAATCTCCACATACAGCAGTCCCCGCAACACCTGTATCATCTCCATAAAAGTTGCAGTTAATTCACAAATAGATGAGAGGAGTTCAAAAAACTTGAATAATTTGAGGGTGGATAAGAAGTTTGAAAGTCTTTAGGATTCTTAACTCCTCCATGAAAGCATAAATATAGCATTTGGTAGAATTTCCAACTAAAGACACCGAGGAGATGTTATATTATTGATGGAAGACCTCCAATGAATTAACCTGCTTTTAAATCTGGCTTTATTTCAACTATACCACATGGAGTTGATTATTGAGATCACTATCTTAACTTGAGTTATTGAATTGAAGATTCATGAAATATATTGACTTACAGGCACCAGAAAATGCGTGATTGTATCTGAGCATATCAGGACCAAGATCATAAGGAATGATTATATCCTTAACTATGTATGGAGTAGTAGGGAAAAGCTCAGACCAAACATTTCCATTCATGAATTTAAATATAATAGATTGCAAGGAATCTTTGATATTAACAACAAATTTTAACATCTCTGCAATCTCGATTCCCATCAAATTATTGATATTATGTCTATTACAAAAACAAAGTTTAAAATCCTTTTGTAAAAGGTAGCAGAAACAATAAAGAATTAAAGGATAAGAGAAATGCTTATAGATTTATAAAAGTTTGGTCTTTATGATGTGACCTAGTCTTTTTTCTAAAAATTTCTTATTTAATGTGAATTTTTTTTAGACTTTGTCCACATACCTCCTTTTATAAGGATTGAACTTTTTAAATAGATAACCACCTCATGATGACAAAGTTTTAAATACGAAGAGCTCCACAACTATTTGAGAGTTTTTTAGCAGCACACAAAACACACAAATCGACTTAGAGTTTTAACCATAAAGACATCCCCAAAACAATATGAGATTTTTATTAGTTTACCTCAATAGCCAAAAAATATTTTTAAATGGTTTAGCTCATAATAAAACAACCTCTTCTTACAAGAAAAATATCGTAGAAAAGATAATACACTCTTGAGATATTTACAAATTCGCCCCTCACTAGAAACATTGATCCTCACAAAGTATATAGTCACTCTCAAAACACTAAGGTAAAATTAAATTGAGAAAATGAGAGATTTGTAGTAA